CTCGCACAGAGACCCATAGACACAGAGATCCATAGACTCACACAGAGACCCATAGACTCAGAGATCTATAGACTCACACAGAGACCCATAGACTCAGAGATCCATAGACTCACACAGAGACCCTTGACTCAGAGATCCATAACCTCACACAGAGACCCATAGACTCAGAGATCCATAGACTCACACAGAGACCCATAGACTCAGAGATCCATAGACTCACACAGAGACCCATAGACTCAGAGATCCATAGACTCACACAGAGACCCATATACTCAGAGATCCATAGACTCACACAGAGACCCATAGACTCAGAGATCCATAGACTCACACAGAGACCCATAGACTCAAAGATCCATAGACTCACACAAAGACCCATAGACTCAGAGATCCATAGACTCACACAGAGACCCATAGACTCAGATATCCATAGACTCACACAGAGACCCATAGACTCAGAGATCCATAGACTCACACAGAGACCCATAGACTCAGAGATCCATAGACTCACACAGAGACCCATAGACTCAGAGATCCATAGACTCACACAGAGACCCATAGACTCAGAGATCAATAGACTCACACAGAGACCCATAGACTCAGAGATCCATAGACTCACACAGAGACCATAGACTCAGAGATCCATAGACTCACACAGAGACCCATAGACTCAGAGATCCATAGACTCACACAGAGACCCATAGACTCAGAGATCCATAGACTCACACAGAGACCCATAGACTCAGAGATCCATAGACTCACACAGAGACCCATAGACTCAGAGATCCATAGACTCACACAGAGACCCATAGACTCAGAGATCCATAGACTCACACAGAGACCCATAGACTCAGAGATCCATAGACTCACACAGAGACCCATAGACTCAGAGATCCATAGACTCACACAGAGACCCATAGACTCAGAGATCCATAGACTCACACAGAGACCCATAGACTCAGAGATCCATAGACTCACACAGAGACCCATAGACTCAGAGATCCATAGACTCACACAGAGACCCATAGACTCAGAGATCCATAGACTCACACAGAGACCCATAGACTCAGAGATCCATAGACTCACACAGAGACCCATAGACTCAGAGATCCATAGACTCACACAGAGACCCATAGACTCAGAGATCCATAGACTCACACAGAGACCCATAGACTCAGAGATCCATAGACTCACACAGAGACCATAGACTCAGAGATCCATAGACTCACACAGAGACCCATAGACTCAGAGATCCATAGACTCACACAGAGACCCATAGACTCAGAGATCCATAGACTCACACAGAGACCCATAGACTCAGAGATCCATAGACTCACACAGAGACCCATAGACTCAGAGATCCATAGACTCACACAGAGACCCATAGACTCAGAGATCCATAGACTCACACAGAGACCCATAGACTCAGAGACCATAGACTCACACAGAGACCCATAGACTCAGAGATCCATAGACTCACACAGAGACCCATAGACTCAGAGATCCATAGACTCACACAGAGACCCTTGACTCAGAGATCCATAACCTCACACAGAGACCCATAGACTCAGAGATCCATTGACTCACACAGAGACCCATAGACTCAGAGATCCATAGACTCACACAGAGACCCATAGACTCAGAGATCCATAGACTCACACAGAGACCCATAGACTCAGATATCCATAGACTCACACAGAGACCCATAGACTCAGAGATCCATAGACTCACACAGAGACCCATAGACTCAGAGATCCATAGACTCACACAGAGACCCATAGACTCAGAGATCCATAGACTCACACAGAGACCCATAGACTCAGAGATCCATAGACTCACACAGAGACCCTTGAACTCAGAGATCCATAACCTCACACAGAGACCCATAGACTCAGAGATCCATTGACTCCACACAGAGACCCATAGACTCAGAGATCCATAGACTCACACAGAGACCCATAGACTCAGAGATCCATAGACTCACACAGAGACCCATAGACTCAGATATCCATAGACTCACACAGAGACCCATAGACTCAGAGATCCATAGACTCACACAGAGACCCATAGACTCAGAGATCCATAGACTCACACAGAGACCCATAGACTCAGAGATCCATAGACTCAACACAGAGACCCATAGACTCAGAGATCCATAGACTCACACACTGCATCGCGCGCTTTCAGATTCGCTTCTGCGACCTTCTGAAACGCTCTTCCTTCCGATATCAGGAAGCCATTGGAGCGATGCACTTCTAAATCATCTTGATCGACAAACTAATTTCTTTTTAACTTCTTGGTGCTGTGCTTAATTTGTTATCCTTCCCCTCTCCGCTTAGCACGCTTGGCTACGCTACCGGGCGAAAGAAATGCAACGTACACACGTGCATACGTACACACGTGCGTACGTACACACGTGCGTACGTACACACAGACGTACGTACACACATGTGTACGTACACACAGACGTACGTACCAAGGCCATAGCCATGGAGTCAACATTGGGGGGGACCTAATCTTTCAGGGGGTCTAGCCCCCCCCCCCCAGGAAAACAAAAAATTTAAATTTGAAAATAAATTTCTTGACATTTCCTGCCTAAAATATTAAAAAATTCACTGACACATGGGATTGACTTTTTATTTCTTTTTTTACAAATAGTGTATTGTATTACATTGCTCTGTTTTTTTCTTTTTTACCTTTTCTTGTTTCATTGTATGTAATGGCAGAGATTAGGGATTTATAAAGTGCAACAATAATCACAATCATATAAACAGAAATCTATGCATTTTATATGAAGACAAGTCAAGATATTGTGGCCAAGGTTGAGCAAGTTGTTTTTATTTACATAGTATATAAAAAAATGTTTACATATTGTTCATAGCAAAAATTTGGGGGGGGGGGCATTTTAAGCATATTTGAATATTGGGGGGGGGGGGATATATTATATATTATAATTACGGCCTTGGTACGTACACACAGACGTACGTACGTAGTGCAAAGCTAAGGCGTCTTCGAAGACGGAAGCCAACGGAACCCCTGGGGCCGGCCCCTCTGCCACGAAACGGCGGTGACCTGCGGCAGGGTCACGGGCATGGGAGGGCACGGGGGGGGGGTGCCTTAGCCCCCCCCCCCCCGCCCCCCGCCCCTCCCCGTCCCACCGCCCCCCCTAATGGCCAAAGCTACGAGTTGGGGGGGGGGACGCCCTCCTTACCAACCACCACGAGATTCGATTTCAACACCGGTGTTGAAATAACGACAACATATTTAAAACACGGTTTCAATGTATCGTTTCATGAGAATGCCTTCATTATTTGCGTTACACGTTTTTTTTTATTTTAAATGCATTTTAATCGGAGCAGCAACGTCAATATTGCGAAGAGCTAAATATGAATGTGTCGTTAAACCCGTCACCACCCGACACTGCCAATTAGTCAAGGTGTGTCACGCGAACAGAACATGCCAATTCGTTACTAAAACAATTCGTTACTGGTACAATTCGTTACTGTACTAGTAACGAATTGGCATGTTTTGTTTCCGTGACAAACCTTACTAATTGGCTGCATCGGCTGGTGGCGGGTTAACCGACACATTTTTTTATTTACCCGATCTAACCTCCCAAAAATTAACCCGTAAAAACAAAGTTTTTCACTATAAATCCTTTATATGCGTGGCGGCTAGAGTCCTCTCGTCCTCTGGCTTGAGATGGCTGCCACCTACGGGTCAGATGATTGCCTGCCACCATTAAGCAATTGGTAATGAAATATAATTTATTTTTCCTAAAAAGTGTAAAATTTTGGAAAAAAAAAATTTTCACGAAAATCAATTGCCACGCACAACGAGTCTGTGTGCAAAATGTCAGCTCGATTGGATCACGGGAAGTGGGTTAAAAAACGACCGAAAGATTTGCACGGTCCTAAGCAAGCAAGTGAACTTAATATAAAGGATTTTTAAAAAACCCTGTATTGTGGAGGACACTGGTCGTGAAAGCCGACTACGTGTTGACCTGAAGATCTGACTAAGGAACACAGCGGATCAGTGGCGGCTGCATTGTGCGAAGACGGAGAGCGCCATCCCCCAACAGCGTCAAATGCTCGAGACCGGGAGCGTCAACGACGCGATGCCGATCAGGGCAAAGATCGAGGCAGCGACATCTAAGAATAACCTCCTGGGTGCGACCGTGTGGAGAGACAAATAAAATAATCACACAGCTCCGATTAAAGCTTTCGTGACTGCAGGGATTCATCTTCTTGGTTCTTTCGGTAAAGTCACGTAGAATGGAAATAATAGAATAATAAAAATAAAACATAATAATTCTCACGACGTTTCGGCCACAACGCAAGCAGCCGTCCTCAGGTGAAGAACAGGTCTGTCGAGAAGACAGCGTCTGAATGACACACCCCAGGCTTCGTCGTGAGAATTATTTCATTATGTTAAATTTTATTATTTTATTATTTCCATTCTACGTGACTTTACCGAAAGAACCAAGAAGATCAATCACACAGCTATCAACCCTCATCAGTACCCTACCTCATTACAGACAAATTAAGACCATATTGGTCACCCCGTGCCCCTTATAAAATCTCAACGTTCATCCTACAAACTCCCATCGCAACGGCGATACGCAAACAGACACATTTTCTTTTTTACCGTATTTAAAACGGCTGTACGCCATATGGACCTGAAAACTCAATTTCCGCCGTACAAGAATACGGGGTAACCGTATGGGTTGACAGGTATGTAGTCTTCTTGGTTCTTTCGATAAAGTCACGTAGAATGGAAATAATAAAAATAATAAAAATAAAACATAATAAAATAATTCTCACGACGTTTCGGCCACAACGCAAGCAGCCGTCCTCAGGTGAAGAACAGGTCTGTGTTTGTTGTTGATTTTCGTTTGTTGTTTGTTGGGCGAGTGTTGATCTGTTGTTGTTGTGTTGTTTGTTGTTTGTTGTTGCGTGTTGTTGTTGTTTGTTGTCGTTGTTTGTGTGTTGCTGTGTGGCCAGGGCGACCATGTCTTCCTGGACGTGGAGAATCCCGGGGAGTTTGCGGTCCCCACCGGAGCCGTTGTCAAACTCTCCGACTCCGGCAAAGTTCTGCTGCTGGATGACGAAGGGACCGTGAGTGTCGTGTCCGTCTGCCCGAATCATTGCCGTCTGCGTGTCCGTCTGCTTGTCTGTCTGTGTGTCGGCTTGTCTTCCTGTCTGTTTATCTTCCGAATTTTCCAATCTGTTTGCCGAGTCTGCTTGTCTGTTTGCCTCCCTGTCTGTCTGCTGTTGGGTCTGTCTCCATTCTTGATTGGTGTCGTCTCCATCCGTCCGTCCATCTATGTGTCCTGTTTGTCGTTGTCTCTGTCTATCTGTCAGTAGCCCCGTGTGTGTTGTCATTCTGTTTCTCTACTTTCCTATCTGTGTGTCTGTTCCTTGATTGTCTATCTCTGTGGTTCTGACTGCCTCCTTGTCTGTCTGTATCGATGTCTATTTCTGTGTGTTGTTGAATCCGGGCAGTATGCTGGTAGTGGTGATGGTAGCTTGCTGATGAGCTGGTGTGGTAGAAGCCGGGCAGTATGCTGTAGTGGTGATGGTGTGCTTGCTGATGAGCTGTGTGTGGTAGAAGCCGGGAAGTATGCTGGTAGTGGTGATGGGTGCTTGCTGATGAGCTGTGTGTGGTAGAAGCCGGGCAGTAATGCTGGTAGTGGTGATGGTGTGCTTGCTGATGAGCTGGTGTGGTAGAAGCCGGGAAGTATGCTGGTAGTGGTGATGGTGTGCTTGCTGATGAGCTGTGTGTGGTAGAAGCCGGGAAGTATGCTGGTAGTGGTGATGGTGTGCTTGCTGATGAGCTGTGTGTGGTAGAAGCCGGGAAGTATGCTGGTAGTGGTGATGGTGTGCTGCTGATGAGCTGTGTGTGGTAGAAGCCGGCAGTATGCTGGTAGTGGGTGATGGTGTGCTTGCTGATGAGCTGTGTGTGGTAGAAGTCGGCAGTTTGCTGGTAGTGGTGATGGTGGGCTTGCTGATGAGCTGTGTGTGGTAGAAGCCGGGCAGTTTGCTGGTAGTGGTGATGGTGTGCTTGCTGATGAGCTGTGTGTGGTAGAAGCCGGGCAGTATGCTGGTAGTAGTGATGGTGGTGCTTGCTGATGAGCTGTGTGTGGTAGAAGTCGGCAGTTTGCTGGTAGTGGTGATGGTGTGCTTGCTGATGAGCTGTGTGTGGTAGAAGCCGGGAAGTATGCTGGTAGTGGTGATGGTGTGCTTGCTGATGAGCTGTGTGTGGTAGAAGCCGGCAGTATGCTGGTAGTGGTGATGGTGTGCTTGCTGATGGCTGTGTGTGTAGAAGTCGGCAGTTTGCTGGTAGTGGTGATGGTGGGCTTGCTGATGAGCTGTGTGTGGTAGAAGCCGGGCAGTTTGCTGGTAGTGGTGATGGTGTGCTTGCTGATGAGCTGTGTGTGGTAGAAGCCGGGCAGTATGCTGGTAGTAGTGATGGTGTGCTTGCTGATGAGCTGTGTGTGGTAGAAGTCCGGCAGTTTGCTGGTAGTGGTGATGGTGTTGCTTGCTGATGAGCTGTGTGTGGTAGAAGCCGGGCAGTTTGCTGGTAGGGTGATGGTGTGCTGCTGATGAGCTGTGTGTGGTAGAAGCCGGGCAGTTTGCTGGTAGTGGTGATTGTGTGCTTCTGATGAGCTGTGTGTGGTAGAGAGCCGGCCAGTATGCTGGTAGGTGGGTGATGGTGTGCTTGCTTATGAGCTGTTGTGGTAGAAGCCGTGTAGTTTGCTGGAGTGGTGATGGTGGCTTGCTGATGAGCTGTGTGTGGTAGAAGCCGGCCAGTATGCTGGTAGTGGTGATGGTGGGGCTTGCTGATGAGCTGTTTGTGGTAGAATCCGGGCAGTATGCTGGTAGTGGTGATGGTGTGCTTGCTGATGATCTGTGTGTGGTAGGAAGCCGGCCAGTATGCTGGTAGTGGTGATGGTGTGCTTGCTGATGAGCTGTGTGTGGTAGAAGTCGCAGTTTGCTTGTAGTGGTGATGGTGTGCTTGCTGATGAGCTGTGTGTGGTAGAAGTCGGCAGTTTGCTTGTAGTGGTGATGGTGTGCTTGCTGATGAGCTGTGTGTGGTAGAAGCCGGGTAGTTTGCTGGTAGTGGTGATGGTGTGCTTGCTGATGAGCTGTGGTGGTAGAAGCCGGTAGTTTGCTGGTAGTGGTGATGGTGTGCTTGCTGATGAGCTGTGTGGGTAGAAGTCGGCAGTATGCTGGTAGTGGTGATGGTGTGCT